TTACCATAGACAGAGAGATTGCCTTGGGTATTGGGTGGATGTTCCTGCAGTAGCATCAAGCCCCACCAGTGGTGCTTAGGCGTTTCCCCCAGTAACTTGTAGGACCTTGGGGTTTAGGCTGGTGATGCCCCACTGTTTGCAGGGGAGAACCCCCTGCTGCTTTGTGTATGGAAGAGGACCAGCATGATTTCCCCAGCTGCTTGCAAAGCCAATAAATGCAGGTGGAACCAACCCCAGTTGGGCCTTCAGAGTTGCCCTAGGCTGAGGGGAGTGGCCTGGTGGCTGCTAGTGGCTTGTGACAGGAAAGAGAGTGAAAGTAGAGGAAAAAGAGAGAAAGAAGAAAACAAAGACTGGAGCAACAATGCCAAGCAAACTAACACCCATACAACTGAAATGCACAGTGAACAAAAGTGAAAACAGAAAAAAATGGAAAGAAAAGAAAACAACATAAAAGGAGAACTGAATCTGATGAGGCTGTGGTAGGAAAGAGAGAAGAGCTAGGAGAAGAGGAGAAAAGAAGAAAAAGTGAAAGAAGAACACAAACAAATAAAGAAAAAACGAACATGAAGGAGAGAGAATTAAAAAAATAAAGAGATAGCTGACCCCATGCTGTGCTGTGTGTGGCACTGACTCGTGCTGTGTGCAGCTTTGTCTTAGGGGGCAGGCTGCCCACTGGGTGGGCAGAATTGCCCTAGGCAGAGGGTAGGGGTCTGGAAACCAGCAGTGGCATGTGAAATGAAAGAGAAGGAGAAGAGAGAATCAAACAAACAGAGAGAGAAGCGAAGAGAACAAAGAAAGAGGAAAGAAAGAAAAAGAGAAGAAAGAAAGAAAGAAAGGAAAAAAAACTCAACTGTGTTCATTAAGATCGGCTGTGATGGTAAAGAAGGAAGAGAAAGAGAAGGAGGAAATAAAGAATAAAGAGATAGCTGATCCCTGATTGCTTGAATGTGGGTCCAGAGGGGTTTAGACCCTGCCTCACTGGCAGATTGGTGTGCCCTTTTAATGCAGGGACCCAGTGGTGCTAGGCATAATTGCCCTAGTTGATGAGATTGCCTTAGAGGTCTGATGGAGGTTTCTTCAGCAGCGCAGCATGGTGTAGATGGCTTTCACAGCTGCCTTGTGTGGTATACAGCACTCCCATGGAGGGGAGGCTGGAGTTTCCCCTGTTATTTGGGTTGATTTGCCCTAGGCAGAGGGTAGTGACCTGGAAGCCAGTAGTGGCGTATGATAGGAAATGGTGGAGAGAAGAGGAGAAAGAGGGAAAAAGAAAAAAAAATTTTAAAAGAGGGGGAAAGAAGAAAGAATAAAAACCCAACACAAACCTGAGCTCGTTGAGACTGACTGCGGTGGGAAACATAGAAGGGTGAGTGAATAAAGAAAGAAGAAATAGAGTAGTAAGTAAGGAAATAAGAGATAACAGAGAATTGATCACCTGTCTGTGAGGCTGGAGGAGTTCCAACTCTTCCTCAAGGTAGCGGGGTGGTGTACCCGTTTGATGTAGGGTTCCACAGATGCAGGGTGGGATTACTTTCAAAGGCAAGATCACACCCGTGGCCAGGCATCAGTTCCCACCACGGTACTGAACGCTGGAATTCACTGGTATACCTGCCTTGTGTTGTATGTAGCACTGCAGCAGGGCGGGTGGGGGGGGGGGAGTGTTGGGGGGTGGGGGTGTTCCCACAGCCCCGTCTAGGGTCCCAGGACAGGCAGGACTGCCCCAGCTGTGTGTAGAATCACTGAGAGTGGAGCTGGGTTTATTGGCCTATCTATACTGCTGCTGCTCTACTAGATCAGAGGATTTTATTTTTTATCCCCCTTGCCAGCTAGAATAGAATCAAATTAAATTGTCTCCCTCAGTCTCTGGGCTGCAGCTCAGTGTCAGTGTGTCTTTGTTATGCAAAGAGCCTCCAGGTCCTGTAGCTATTCTGGCATTCCTTAAGGAGGGCTTCTTCTTATGCTGATTTATGTTAAGGGATCCCCATCTATGTGCTCCTTGGAGCTGAGCAACAAGACTGTGGTTTGAGTTTTTAACCAATAATATACATTTCACTCTTTTTTATATTATGCTTGTGATGTGCTCTGACTTGGGGGCTGTCATGCTGACCCCCAGAGGGGGAGATCAGGGGGGTTGTTTCCTTCCTTGCCAATTGGAACTAAATACGCTCCCTGGCCTCTGACTATCCGCTTATTTTCTCCCACACCGCGATCTGCCTCAGGTAAAAATCCTTTTTTCCCTTCTACTCCAAATTATTGCTACCTGCTACCCCCACTCCCCAGGCTGTGAGCTCAAGGCAGCCAACAGTGCGGAGAGCTCCGATGTGGGGCTCTCCTTGTGTCTGGGATTATGTCCCCTCTCAGGTGTCTGCCTGGAGAAATCGCTGCTCCCGACAAGGGTGCGAGGAGCCAGTCAGCTGGTGGCCGCAGGCTCACCAAAGCTAGAGCGCTTTAGAATGCTATTGGTTTGCTTTGTGAGTGGAAATCACACACAAAAAAGGGGTTCAAGAGAGACCTCATACCCTAGTTCTAATTTCAGGAGTCCACCTCCCCGTTTCCTTCACCTTACCTCCCAGTTTTCTGGTCTGACAGCAGGAGCCCCAGTCCGGTGAGTCCTATCCAGTCGCCATTTTCCCCTGAGTCCCCTGCCTCTTGATCATTGTAAAGTTTCTCATGAGCAAAATGAAAGTGTTCTGGAATTCCCATTCTTCTCAAAGTTATTCATAGTTTTGTTATGGTCCACAGAGTTGAAAGTCTTTGAAAAGTCAATAAAACACAAGTAAACATCTTTCTGGTAGTCTCTGCTTTCTGGCAAGATCCATCTGACACCAGCAATGATATCCCTTGTTCCATAGAAAAGCAGACAAGGGGAAAAAAGGGGGTAAAATACAACAAAATGAAAGACGGAAACAGCTAGGCAAGCCTCAGGACCGAGCAGACCAGAAAAAATAATTCCAAACTATAGGGAAGCTGAGAACCTTCCCAACGTACACTGTATTATTGTTATTCTTTACTAAAATTAAAATATTATTTTATTGGAGCTCTTACAGCTTTTATAACAATCCATACATCAATTGTACCAAGCACATTTGTATATATGTTGCCATCATAGTCATTATTGTTATTCTTGTTGTTAATTGCCTTTGAGTAGATGCCTACTCATAATAACCATACACAGAAGCAACAAAAGACTGCCAAGTCCTGAACCAATCTCATGAGATCATTGATATGTCTGAGCCTACTGTGTCAATCTAATCTATTGAAGATCTTATGATTTTTCTCTATCAAGCTAGATGTGTCTTCCCCAGGGACTACTCCCTCCTGATAACACGTACAATGTATTTGAGATGAAATCTCACTATCCATACTTCAAGTGAGCATGCTGGCTGCACTTTTTCCAAGACACATTTATTTATCCCACAAGCAGTCCATGGAATATTCAGTATTCTTTGCCCACACCGTATTTTAAATGCATCGGTCTTCTCTAGTCTCTCTTATTCATTGTCCAGTCTTCTCATGCCTATGAGGGGATTGAAAATACCATGGCTTGGGTCAGATGTTCCTTTATTTCAAAGGGACATCTTTGCTTTTTGACACTTTAAAGAGGTTTTATACAGCAGATTTACTCAGTGCAGCATGTCAGAATCATTTACTGCTGCTTCCATGAGAGTCAATTGTGGATCCAATAAAATGAAACCCTTCACCATATAAAAGGGTTAAGGAATAACAGTTCTGTACCCCAAAATAAATAAATACATGGAAAAGAGATCCAGGAAGGTGGTAGTTTAGCCCAAGCAAAAAGGAAAGAGAATTCCAAGGATGACAGCAAAGGAGAGTCTCACAATGGAAACTGTGCATCCAGGTTTAAGGAAAATGTAAGAGAGATTACCAGTAAGTACAAAGAGAATTAACCATATGAGAAAAAATAGAGTATTACCTCCGGGGAAAAATAAAAATAAGACATTACTGTGGTACACTATAATGTTCAATTGTGCATAATATTTTTACTGAAAAGTGCTTTCAATGCTTATTTATATCTATCATTATATTTTAGTTTTCCTAGGAGAACCTGAGAAGACCATCCTGTTGCTTTTATTTTTTATTTATTTTTTCATCCTGTTGCTTTTAATAGGCTAAAGTGATTGCAAATACCCACCTTCATAGTAGAAAATACTGAACCCTGGTAATAATAGATACAAGAAACTCCTCAGACTCTCTGCTGCCCACAGTTATTGTTGGGAAGTCCTGGTGACACAAACAGCGCAATACGCAACAAGCACCTGACCGTTGTGATCTTGCTTGGTCCCTAGAATAGCTCTCCCACATTATAAGACTTCATCATAGTTGACTAGAGGTCTCCACTATTAGCTTTTAGCGTCGCAGCTGAATTGTAAAGGATCCTAGAAGATCTAGCTGAAAGAGATGAAGACTAAATTTAACAATGGAGGAGTAAACAAAAAAGACCAGGAAAAAGCCTACTTTTGCGTATGCTTCTTGCACCTTAAGTACTTGTTTGGAGTATTTATAATTTTATTATCTTTGGAGTATAAGTTCTTTGAAGATTTTTATAAATATGTCTTCTTTATACTCCGGAAAAGTAGAACACCTCATATAGAGTAGATATTCAACTTTTACTGAGAATAAAGTAGCATACTTTGGCATCCTGGGAAACTCAAATTTAAATCTTACTCAAAACTGATTAAGCAAGAGAGACGTCCTCTTTTTCAAGTGAGTTTGGACAACATGGTCAGCCAATCTAAGTCATTCAGACCAAAGACGAAGAATTTCATTCAGTATATTGTTCACTTACGTTCACTACAAAGCTCTAGGGTCATGGATGCATGTAACCTATTGAGCACCACAGGGGGAGCCATACACACTAGAAAATTTAATGAATGGATTTGGTGATGGTGGTGGTCATCTTAAAACATGACTATATTTGGCCTGTAGAGAAATACAGTCATTCCACTGAAATTACCACTTGTGTTTCTGTTGAACACTTACAGAAATGCTGCAGTCTGAAAGCTATAAACGAAGGATGATGGCCACCATGTCCCTAGAAGTTATTTGCTTAGCAAATGAGCGATACTGGGAATTTATTTTGGATGCAGGTAATGAAAAATCTGTTCACTATTATTTGCTTATGCTAAATTATGTACAGCTATATCATACTCAGCTACATCACTTTAAAAAAATGTCTCATAGTAGAAGCTTTTTAGTTGATTTTAAGTCTCTTTTTCTTTTTTTCTAAGCTAAGTTCCTTTCCAGTTGAAAGCTAGGAAATATTTAAAAAGTATATTAATTCCTTTTTCCTACAAGTTTATCAACTTAAAAAATATGATGATAAATTATTTTCTCTACTACCTCATATTTACTTTCATTTAGACACTATCTTTTTCCTATAATCATGTAGTCAAACCAATTACCCTTATTTGGTATTTGCACAATTAATTTTTTATTCAAAATGGTAGGTTTAGATTCAAATTTGCATTTGTAACTATGGAATTCTGCACTTAGACCGTAGCAAGTCACTTATCCTCTCTAAGCCTGGCTTTCTCATTAGTAAAATGGTTCATAATGGGTTATTGTGTGTGGGAGAACTGCACCATCTAATAGAACTTCCTGCAATGATGGAAATGTTCTACTTGTACTACTTAATATGGTAGTCCCTTCCAACATGTGGTTATTGAGCTCCTTAAATATTTGTCAAATGAACTTTAAAAACATTTGGTTGTGATTGTTCTCTAATGTGTTCCTAAAACCAGGTACAAGAGACTTACATTAAAAAAGTGAACCATAGGCTTACAAGTCATGATGCAGGTTGCCTTGTCAGTAGCTAAGGAAGCAAACAAAGCTCTAATCACACATGTAGTATTGACATCATTTGTCCTCTCATATTGAGTTGATTTAAGTCCAACAAGCCTCCAGCTGAAGCCATACTTTGTGGTTTCACCATACCCAATTATATCTATCTTTCAACCAGTGAGACTAATGGTGCCTTTGACTAGATCCAGTGCTTTGTTTTTCTGTTGTCCAAGAGTGTGTAAAAAATAAGATTAAAAATAATAAAAATCACTGCAATACAAAGTTGATGCAACAATCAAGATCATTTACTATGTGGTAGCTCAATGTATTTTTAATAGTCTTAAACCAAAATTCAGTGTTTGAAATGTGATATAGGATTATCACTATAAATGTATGATTGCACATGTTGTATGAAAATCAAATGTATATGTATATGCAATGAGACTTGCCTATACTGTAGGTCAGAGAGAAAAAAGTGCTTTTGATAGTTTCAGAATATAAAAAAATAATGTTATATAATTTCTTCTTTATATTGCCATGCTTATAAACATTAGATTCATATACTAAACAAGTCATACTTTTTCTTTGTCTCTTCATACAGATACCATCCCTGCCTTAATTAATCTTTTAAAATGCCCAAAAATAAAATTGCAGTGCAAAACAGTTGGGTTATTGTGTAATCTCTCAACTCATGTATCTATAGTGCATGCTCTGGTAGAGGCAGGAGCCATTCCAGCTCTGATCAACCTCCTGGTTTCTGAAGAACCTGAATTGCACACTCGCTGTGCTGTCATTCTTTATGACATTGCTCAACTTGGAAACAAGGATATTATTGCCGAACATGTGAGTTCTTGCGTACAACATCCTTCAATAACAGTAATCCTCTCCTTCTGTGCAATACACTGGCAGAATGCTCATGAAACACTGTCAACCCCAATGAAGACAGTAAGGAGTAACTCTGCCACAAGCCCATAGATCAAAAGTAGACAACCGGGTGTAATGGACAAGAGCTGATTGGCTCACTACTCACAGCACAGAGAGCAGTATGAATTTCAACACAGTTGGTCATTACTTATATGTTAAAATGGTATTTGAGTTGTACAATGCAATTGCTAATTCTTAATCCAATAATCTCAATGGCCAATATTTCCAAATAGAGCACTCTGTTCCATTGACTTCACTCAATTGCTTCATTTAAAAATATTTATTAAATACTACATATGATTAACTCAAAACAGTGTTAACTGTCAGGTAGTATTCAATATCAGTACAGACTTTTATTTATAAGGCATCATGTTCTCCTAAAGAAGCAGATAGAGCTGTAGCTCTACATCAGCTGACAGCAAAGGTCAGATGGATCCTGGCTGAAAGCAGAGAATACCAGAAAGATATTTACTTGTGTTTTATTGACAATGCATTGGCATTCAACTGTGTAAATTAGAAGAGTTTGGATGAAATTGAAAAGAATGGGAATTCCAGAATACTTAACAAGGCTCCTGCAGAATGTGCACATAGATTAAGAGGCAGTCATTTGAACAGAACAAGGTAACACTGGATAATGTGAAACCAGGAAATGTGTGTGCCAGTGCTGTGTACTTTCACCAGGCTTATTCAATCTGCTTAATAAACAAATAATCCAAGAAACAGGATTATATGAAGAAGAATGCTACATCAGGATTGAAAGTAGGCTCATTAACATCCTATGATATGCAGATGGCACAACCTTGCTCCTGAAAACAAAGAAAGAGGATTTGAAGCACTTTTCTATGTACAACCTTCTGTATAAATTGCAACTCATTGTAAGGAAAACCAAAATCCTCCTAAATGGACCAATAGACCACATTATAAACAGAGAAGAGGTTGAAGTTGTCAAAGATTTCATTTCACTTGAATCCACGATCAACATTCATGGAACCAGCAGTGAAAATCAAACAACATATCACCCCAAGCCATGGTATTTTCTATCGCATCATATACAATGTAAAATCTGGACAATACATAAGAAGACCAGGGAATTAGTGATGCATTTGCATTATTATATTGGAGAAGAATATTGAAAGTACCATAGACTTCCAGAAGAACAAACAAATCTGTCTTGGAAGTACAACCAGAATGCTCCTTAGAACTGAGAATGGTAAGACTTGGTCTCATGTGCTTAGGATGTGTTTCCAGGAGGAACCAGTCCCTGGAAAAGGACATCATGTTTAGTAAAATATAGAGGCAGGGGAAAAAAATAGGAAGATCCTCAATGAGATGGATTGACACTGTGGCTACATTTATGGGGTCAACAAAAACATTTATGAGGCTGGAGCAGGAGAAAAACTGTAAGCTTCAGTTTCTCTATGAAAATGACCTGTATCTTAAAAAAGTTCTATTGTCAATTATACATTTATTTATTTTTAGAATGGAATGCAAGCGCTGATAAATCTCTTAAACACAAACATAGAAAACGTGTTGGTGAATGTAATGAACTGTATTCGGGTATTATGCATAGGAAATAAGAATAATCAAAAGGCAGTGAGAGATCATAAAGGCATCAAATATCTTATCGCATTTCTGAGTTCTGATTCAGGTAAGCTTTTATCTCTGCATTATTAAAGTAGCCAAGTATATTAAGTGAGACAAAGAGTTAGAGTTATCACATAAAAATAGATATCATGGATTTAGCTTAGAATGGATCTATAAGTATGAACTATCACCTACATAGCTAGAACACTTATATTTCAACTGCTGGGTTATCAAAGAAATTGAATGTCCATGGACAAAGTTAGTTTGTTGGTTTGAAAGGTTCAATTAGGCACGTTTATAAAGAGAAACATTTTCACTAATGACCTTGCCTGAATAATACACACTGATAATTAGGTGCTATTTTGCAATTCCCAACTAAGAATTCAGATTTGCTGTTAGGTATTTGATATCAACATTTGAGCTCATCAGAAGGCATTATCAGGTTCAAAGGCGCACAGAGCACCATGCCTCACAGCACCAAGACCAGATGCTTTGAGGTGGTTTCGGTTCGGTAAGAATTGCCTCATTTCAGTGAGCATACAGGAAAGTGTAAGTATTAAATCTAGGGTTCTCCTCAACATTTTGGCAGAAAATTTGGGGAAAGCTCATCCCTTATCCTTCTTGTCCAGTGTATCATCTTTCCTTCCATTCTGTTCAGGTAAAAGCTCATAGAATGAATATAAGCATATTGCTTAAATGTAAGAAACGGTCCTTAAAAAATCTCACTGCTATAAAATCGATGCAGATGATGCAATGACCCTGTAGGACAGGGAAGAAATGCTCCTGTGATTTCCAGAGACTGTAACTCTTGACAGGAGTGGAAAGCCCAGTCTTCCTCCTGCGGAACTGCTGGTGGTTTCAAACTACTGACCTTTCAGATCACAGCCCATCATGTAACCACTACACCAACAGGGCTCCTTTAAGGAAAAGCTAGGGATAAGGTAATGTTTCAGAGAACAGGCTCACCCCCGCCACCCCAAATTTAACTAAATGTTATATTCTAAGACTCTATAATTTGAATTCGAATTTCTTAAGGCCATCTTTTCTAAATATCCTTCCATCATTGATTATGCAGTATTTTATCATTTACAATTATGATTAGAGAGGATAAACTTTTATATCTTTATCATATCATTTTTATATTTTTATGGTTCTTTTTAAGAAGCCCTGGTGATGTAAGGCATTACTTTTTAGGGTGCGAACCATAAAGTTAACAGTTTGAACCCCCCAGAAAGATGAGGCTTTCTACTCCTGTTAAGACGTACGGCCTTGGAAACCCACAGGTGCAGTTCTGCGGCTGCTCTGAGTCAGAATTGACTTGATGGCGGTGAGTTTGGAATTTCTGGGTATGATCCATTTTGTTTTTTGTTGTTGTTTGTGTGTTTTAGCTCCTAATTAAAATGTAAAGATAAAGACTAGATTTTCCCCTTCTTTTATCTCTCCAACTCCAATGCCAGAATAAGACACGCAATAAATAAAAGCAATTTGAATTAATAAGTGACAAATGAGTTCATGAAGGAAAGATACACAAGTAACTTGTTGGAATTGTATATTTTGGGACTCCTACCTTGTCTGAAACTTAATTAAGAGTAAATTTTCCTACATTATAATATATATTATCTTTTCACTACAAAGAAGCTAAAGAACTTAATTTTGAAATAAATTTTTATATATGCATATACTTACATATATATAATACACTCAATAAATCATTCATGTGCTTTAACAATAATTCTCATGGATATCATCTAGATTATTAAATGGTAGGTAATCACAAAGAAATTTAATTAATTACAATATCTTTAAGCTTTCTGAACCAAGTCAAACAAACCCAAATGGAAGACTATTCTCTAAATTAGCTAATTAAAAATCTCTGTCATAGAGACAAAGACAAAGAACTGCTCTACGTCATGAATCTCAGGAGACATCATAGCGAAATGCAATTTATGATCCTCGTCTAGGTTTTATACCAGAGGAAATGAATTATGTGGAAAATTGATGCGATTATCACCTTTTAGAGAAAAGTATTGCAGCTACTGATTGCATTACAGTTATATACGAAAATATTCTTTTCTTAGGAACCACATACTAAAAGAAATAAATTGCCGTTATTTATGTATGCAGCCTATTTTGAAATACAAATATATATTCACAAGTAAATAGATAAATGTCAATGTGAGAAATGTTAAAAATCAGTACATCTATTTAATGTAGTTATTTTCAAATGCTGTCTTTAAAAGAATGTTTTTATTCATTTTATTGGGGAGTTCTTACACATCTTACAACAACCCATCATTCAATTGTAAGCACACTTGTACATATGTTGCCATCAACATTTTCTTTCTACTTGAACCCTTGGTATCAGTTCCTTTTTCCCACCTCCCTCCTGCACCCTCCCACCCTTGTGAATCCCTGATCGATTATATATTGTTGTTGTTATTTCATGCCTTATACTGCCCGTTGTCTCACTTCACCCACATTTCTGCTATTTGTCTCCTCAAACGCTGTCTTGACCCAGTTTTAAGGCCCATCCAGTGGCAGATCAGTACCTCTTCTGGAGCACTTGATTAATTCTATACCTCATCCCTTCCCTTATTGGGTTCTCACACTCCAGGGCTTGGGTTCAAGGATCAAAAAACTAGAGACAGCCTCTGTTCCTACACCTTGAACCCTGCAAAATGATTCAAATCAAATGCAGTGAACAGGGAGCCAGTGAAATCTAGTTAACTCTACTATTTTCAGACTTAGGCTGCCTGGTATGGCACCTTCTTTTCCCTGCTTGACAGCCTTTTCCAGTTTGTAGCTGTAAATTTCTGTTTATCATCTACCTGAGCTGTTTTGTCCCATCACCCAAAGAACCAACAGCTCTGCTTAATATCTTATAATTATGAAACAATCATGCAAAGAGTTTAGAGTTCTCTTGATTTATTTTTCAAATTTTTATAACTTTTTAAAAAGAAAAAAATTCACCTGGTTGGTAAACATATAGCAATAAGTTTAGTCTCCTTAGCAAACACACATACAAGATAAAATAAAATTTTTCCCTGTGAACTTAGCAAAGTCCCCGAGACCCCTCTGCAAGGGGACCTCCAGTGTCCTACTAATGGGCTTTGGGTCTCCACTCCACACTCCCCCCATCATTCACTATGGTAAGATTTTTTGTTCTGATGATGCCTTATACCTGATCCCTTCGACACCTCGTGGTTGCATAGGCTGGTGTGCTTCTTCCATGTGGGCTTTGTTGCTTCTGAGCTTGATGGCCAATATACTTATTTTTAATGATAATATTTTTAACCAGCAAGACACAGTAACATTGATAATCTTGTATTCTAATTATGGAAGAGTAAAATGCTATTTATAAAAGTAAATTATTAAGGTGAAAAACAAATAAATGCATATAGGAAAGAAATATCTTATATACAAAGAATATGTCTCCTATGTATTGTTTAAAAGAATAAAAATTTGGAAAGAAAATGCATTTTTAAAGTGTGTGAATGGCTAAGGAAATAGACTTATTCAATAGAATATTAGGAAGACATTGGTGTTTGTAAAGAATGGAAAATGCTCTAATGCTAAGTGAAATTGCAGGACATTACATTTACGGTAAGATTATATTACATATAACTATATCTAAGTCTTCTTACATTCATAAAAAAAAATAGTGGATGAGATTAAACCAAAGACTTGATTGCATTTAAGTAATGCGAATCCAGGCAGGTTTTTTCCCCCTTAAAGAGTAGTTTCGTTTCGTTTTATATGATAAGACACTAAAGATATGCTGAATTTTGAATACCTCTCACTTAAAATTTTATTTTTACTTTTAACTGGTTCTTGAATTCATTTGAAGATGTATTGAAGGCTATCGCTTCAGCTACCATTGCTGAGGTTGTGCGTGACAACACCGAGGTGCAGGATGCCGTGGCAATGGAAGGAGTGATCCCTCCTCTGGTGGCTATATTTAAAGGGAAACAAATTAGTGTCCAAGTGAAGGGTGCATCAGCTGTTGAAGCACTGGCAAGTCACAACCCTGCTATACAGAAAGAATTTCTGGAAAATTCATTAACTAAATACCTTTTAAAACTCCTAAAGGTAGGATTTTGAGAATTCTCTCACTTCTTTGTTTAAAATTTATTTTAATCAATCATTTTATTGGGGGCTAGTACAACTCTTATCACAATCCATTCATCCATCCATCCATCCATTGTGTCAAGCACATTTTTACATTTGTTGCCATCATCATTTTCAAAACATTTTCTTTCCACTTGAGCTCTTGGTATCAGTTCCTCTTTTTCCCCTTCCCTCTCTTATGAACCCTTGATAATTTATAAATTATTATTTTTCCATGTCTTACACTGCTGACCAATGTCTCCCTTTACCCACTTTTCTGTGTCCATACCCCTGGGAGGGGGTTAAATGTAGATTATTGTGATCAGTTTCCCTTTTCTCCCCCCACCTTCCCCTTCCCCTACTGGTATGGCTACTCTCGATATTGGTCCTGAGAGGTTTATCTGTCCTGGATTCCTTGTGTTTCCAGCTCTTAT